ATTAATTACATAAATATTATATTACAGAAAGTGAGTATTTAGATTCATAATTATTGAATTCAAAGTTTAAATTTAATTCAATATCTAATAACGATTTTCTAATCAATTGTCAATTAATTACATAAATCTTCTATTACAGATTGTGAGTATTTAGATTCATAATTATTGAATTCAAAGTTTCAATTTAATTCAATATCAAATAACGATTCTCTAATCAAATACCAATTAATTACATAAATATATATTACAGTTCGTGAGTATTTAGATTCATAATTATTGGCTTCAAAGTTTCAATTTAATTCAACGATTGTCTAATCAATTATTAATTTATTGCATAAATATTCATTTATAGATTGTGAGTATTTAGATTAATTATTATTGAAATCAAAGTTTATATTTAATTCAATATCAAATAACGATTCTCTAATCGATTACATAAATATTATATTACAGAAAGTAAGTTTTTAGATTCATAATTATTGAAATCAAAGTTTAAATTTAATTCAATATCAAATAACGATTCTCTAATTAATTACATAAATATTATTGCAGAAAGTGAGTATTTAGATTCATGATTATTGAAATCAAAGTTTCAATTTAATTCAACGATTATCTAATCAATTATTTATTTATTACATAAATATTCATTTACAGATTGTGGGTATTTAGATTCATAGTTATTGAAATCAAAGTTCAAATTTAATTCAACATCAAATAATAATCTTTAATCAATTATCAATTAATTACAAAAATATTATATTAAAGAGAGTGAGTATTTAGATTCATGATCCATTAATTAAAAGTTTCAATTTAATTCAATATCAAATAACAATTCTCTAATCAATTATCAATTAATCACGTAAATATTATATTGCAGAGAGTAAGTATATAGATTCATAATCATTGAAATCAAGATTAGATATTAAATAACAATTATTTAATCAATTAATTATCAATTAATCGCATAAATATTATATTACAGAGGGTGAGTATTTAAATTCAATTCATAATTATTAAAATCAAAAATTCTCTACTCAATTATCAATTAATCACATAAATATTATATTGCAGATTGTGAGTATACAGATTCATGATTATTGAAATCAAAGTTTAAATTTAATTCAATATCAAATAACGATTCTCTAATCAATTATCAATTGATTGCACAAATATCATATTACAGTTCGTGAGTATTTAGATTCACGATCCATTGAAATCAAAGTTTCAATTTAATTCAATATCAAATAACAATTCTCTATCAATTATCAATTAATCACATAAATATTATATAACAGATTGTGAGTACATAAATTTATAATTGTTGAAATCAAAGTTTAAATATTAAATAACAATTATTTAACAATTATCAATTAATTACATAAATATTACATTACGGATTGTGAGTATTTGTTATTATAAAGATCAATGTTTCAAATTAATTGCAATATAAAATTTTCATAGTGCTTATTATCACTAATATTTTTTTAGAAATAGGTATGGAGGGTGTGAGGAATGTTTGCAAATTAACACTAGAAAGAATTGGTGCAATAGGTGTAATACTGAACAATTTCAAAGAGAATTTGACAAATGGACAAGTGAAAATATAGAGATTGATGAATTTATTCAGAAAATGCAACTTAAAGCAGAAAAATATGGAGAAGTTATTGAATGGATTCCATTTGACAGACTTGAGAATGTTGAATACCTTTCTCGGGGAGGTTTTGGCATTGTTCATAAGGCAAAATGGATTGATGGTTATATTGTATCTTGGAATAACAACGAAAAATGCTGGAAAAGGAGATCACAGAATCGTTATGTATGCTTAAAAAATCTCGATAATTCCAAAAATAAAAGTATATTTTTGCAAGAGGTAAACTATTTTACATTATTTAATCTTTATTCTTATTAAACAAATATTTTTATTTTATTAATACTGATTAATTTTTAGATTGAAAATCAACTTAAATTTCGAGGTCAATGGGCAATTGCGATATATGGCATTACTAAAGATCCAACAAAAAATGAATATATGATGGTTATGCAATATGCATCAGAAGGTAGCCTCCGAAAAATGTTGGATAACAAGTTCAAAGAATTGAACTGGCATGACAAGATTCTCATTTTACTTCATATTGCAGAAGGTCTTTCTGAAATGCATGAGAATCATTTTGTGCATAAAGATTTCCATTCCGGTAACATAGTTAATGAAGCCCTAACTAAAACTTATATTACAGATTTTGGACTGTGTAAGCAAATTTTTGAAAAAAATTCAGAAAAAATTTATGGGGTCATCCCATTTTTGGCACCTGAAACATTGAATGGAGAAATATACACTCAAGAATCTGACATGTATTCTTTGGGCATGATTATGTTAGAAGTTTTTACTAGTTATCCACCATTTTATAATACTCCACATGATATACATCTTGTAATGTCAATTTGCAATGGACTTAAACCTGAAATTAAGTGTGAAGTTCCTCAATTGCTCAAGGGTTTAATGGAGGAATGTTGGAATATTGATCCTCACAAACGTCCAACTGCTGAAAAATTTAAAATCCAGCTTAGCAAATATCTTAATTATAATGATGAAGACAATGATGAATTAGAAGAACAAATTGAAGAAGCAAATGAATTGAACAAAAATTTTATTCAATATGATCCAAGTAAAATCCATCCTGAAGCAATTTATACAAGTAGACTTTTTCCCAAACTTACATTGTCTGAATATTCTAAATATGATACACTTAGTAAGTTTAAGAATCCTGTATTTTGTGTATAGCAATTATTTCTGATTTGGGATTTAGACAACCAGTTCAAGAAAATCTCAAATGTATGGAAGCTTTTTAAAAATTAACCAACAGCTAAAATTTATATTAAATATTTATTTAGATTCAAAACAGGTTGCTTTTGAAATCCCTGATATTGGTAATTTTGATAATATATCCCTTGAAACTGAAGCTGATGTACCAGGGATAATCCTAACCGAAACTAAAGAATCAATAATCCTAACTGAAAAGAATTAATTGTTTCTGATCTGGTGACAGTCAATGAAAATAATGAAATCCACGAAACTAATGAAATCCACGAAACTATTGAAAGTAATGAAAA